TCCGCGTCTCCCTTTCGCCGCCTCCCCCCGGCCCCGCCATGAGCCTGGGAGCAACCGCGGGTAGCGGCGCGGCCATATTCCAGTTGAAAAAGGTCAGCGGTAGCACGACCACAGTAAACTGAGCAACCTCATTGTGCTAAGCGCTTAACGAAGACAGCAAGCAGCGACCTCCTCGACGGGTGACAAGCGACTGCCGGGCCTGGGCCAGGAGCTGCTCCAACCCCTACCCCGAAGGGGACGGGGAGGGGTAAGAGACCCGCGCGTGCGCATCGACCAATCAGGTGAATACAAGCGAGGCAGCGGAGGGTGCCGATAAAGAACAATCGTCCAATCAAATCGCTCATGAGAACAGGGTAGGGATGAGAGCTAGCCGGCCGGTACTTAAGCCTCCCACTTTTCTGGTGCTTGGGGGCGGGTGAAGAGACAAGAGAGGAGGAAAGTGCCTCCGCTGCAGATTGAAGCCGGGAGAGGTTTTGTCCAGGGAGACCGGCAAGAAGGGGAATCGTTTGAATCGGTTTCTCCTTGGCTTCTTTCCAGAATTCACGGGTTTCATCGAGCCGATTTTACCCTTGCCTATATTGCTGATCGTTACCCTGCAATATAGCTCGAGGGGGAGGGAGGTCTCTCGGCCTTCTTTCCTGTTCAAAGAGCGCGTGACAGTTGTGTGTATCTCAGCTTTAACCGGAGTGAACAATAAGCCAATCGGAAGGGAGGACGACGGAGATTGGTGAGAGGAACAGCCAATGGGGCGGAGAGTTTTCTTCCGGAACCGGGCCTCCTTGCGCTCTTAACCGCGAAGCGATCCCTGCATGAAGGATGAACTCAGTTCGTTAGGCGGCTTAGTGCCCGTCGGTAGAGTAGGTTTGTGCTACAACCCTCCCCTCCGTTTTCCATCTGAATTTTCCTGGCGGCATTTTCCTCGCGAGAAATACTTCCTTATGGCTGTTGATTCCTCCAATCCTTTATTCAGCAGAAAGATGTGCCATCATGAGTTGTGTTGCCTGACAGCCAAGATCTAATCTGCCCGAGTTGGAACCTTGTTAGTGGTCCTGTCCTTTAGCTTTTCTGTAGGACAATTCAAAGGCAGTGATGGGTGGATTCCCGTGGCTTCACTTCGTTTCCTGCCCAGCTTCCAGTTTCCAACTCAAAGGTGTTCCATGCCAGGAAACTTGTACTTGAGCTATTTCAGTCCCAAAAGACCAGTCTGTCATTGGTCTTCTGCCCCAAAAGAGCCAAACTATCAGGACGGTGGGGCAGACGAACAGTGAGGGGAGGAAGCATGCTTGTCACACTGAGAGTGTCCCTGTCTGGTTCATCACAGGCCCATCCCCTGCCACCCTAACCTGTCAGCTGGGCTGTCGTTGGACACAAGTTTATTAGAATTCAGGAGACTGGTAGACCCATGGTCAGAAATAGCCCAAGTGACACATCATAGGCAAGGTGGAGGGATTAAGAGGAGCACTGTGGGGGCTTCCTCCATCCTTACTCTATGCTCCTGGGCTAGGTTGTGATCTGACACCTGGGCTAGAAGGAGAAATTGGCAAAACTCATGTCCATTTCACCCCAGCTTCCAATACTGGAAATAAGTGCAAAGGAATGGCAATCAATGGCTGTGTTCTGCAGTATCCAGAATTATTTCATGGAATAGACAAAATGACATTGCAGTAGGTACCTCAAACTAATAAAAACAGAAAGCACCCCCATATGCAGAAGCATTAGAAAACATATAATGCACTCATTTTGGACATAACCAGCAATATACAGCTGATAAAACCTGGCTGTCTTTGCCAGTTTAAATCAACCTTTTATGCAGAGAGCACTACTTCTGTTTTTTAAACACAGGACTACCACTCTTTCAAAAGACCATGAAACTGTGGGAAGTGTGTCCACAACAGCTGAAATTGGCCAATGGGATATGAACAGATCCTAAGCCCTCACTCTGTCATTGCCAACGGTGTCCGTGAATCACTGTAGAACATATGTTCTACAAGACTTGTGTTGGAAGATAAGGAAAAACAATACTTTAAAACTGCAACAACTGTCTCCAAATATAAGCTGGGGATGAGACAAAGTCCATATCATGAGGACATGTCCTCCAAAACAGCTTGTTTTCATGTCTCTGAGGGACATGAGGATGAGCCCTTTGGGTAAGTTCACATATTTCATTAAATTGTGGTTTATTGAACATGCTATAAACTAGAGTTTATAAATCAAATAGCTGGGTTCATGGAACACCCTAAGGGAAACCCAAACCACACATTATTGCTTAGCTGCATGACAAATCCATATCTGCCATATTTTGAGATTTGGTGGGACTAATAAGAAGAAAAATGATATTCTGAACAGTGAGTTGTTTGCCTAAGTATTCTCTAGAAGCAAGAGATATCTTTTGCACATATTTATGCAAAAATAATTGTCTGCAAAATAAGATATCTGTACAATGAAACATTCTGTCAGAATCTATCAGGCCCTGAATTTCTTGAGCATAGGTAGGATGAAGGGAACAGCTATTGGGAGGGACAACACACCACACTGTTCAATGTCAGAAAATTGAAGCAGTTGTAAAATGTTTGCAAACTACTGAAATAAAATGAAATGTTAATAAAAACATTGACAAGATAGTATATTTATCAGGCTATCCTAAAACTTATAAAATATTTAACAAGCTATTTAAATAGAATATTACATTAAACAAATGAAATAAGTATGTGCTCCAGGTCATAGCTGAACAAATCTAAATTATACATTTAGAAAGAATCAGGTATCAGATTTCTTAACTCAGAAATATCCATATGGAATAGCTTGATATATTTCAAACTTCAACTAAATGCCAAAATAATTTGCTTCCAAATGATAACTCCATATGTACATGTAGACTGGTTTCAGAAGACTACATTTAAGAGATTCTGCTCAAATATGTGGGCCTTATATTTTGGAAATTGACAAGGTTCCATTTTATCCCTGAAGTCATGTGAAGGTTGAAGTAACATGTCATGTCATTAGTATGCTGATGACACTCAATTCTATTTCTCTTTGCCAGGTGAGTCTAGTAAATCAAACACAACATTGTTTAGTATTGGCTTAGCAAACAGTATGAATCCAGCTATTGTGGTTTGTAAGTTATGGGTCTGATTAATACTATATGAGAACCAGACCATAGTGGTTTGCTAAGAAATCATGGTAAAAACACCCTATATAAATGGTTCTTCTGTATGGAAATGGTTGCACAACCTGTTCTAGATAATTTGCACTCCCTGTGCCAGAACACATATGTAGGTAGCCTGGGCATAGTCCTCAATGCAGATCTAACAGCTGAGACCAGGCAGGCTCTGTCCTTGCCTTTTACCTATTCTAGCTTGTTTACTAGTTACTAGTTGTGCCTGTCATAGTTTCTCACATTACATTACAAACTACACTGCATTACTGTTATACGTGGGGCTTCCATAAAAAATGATCCAAAAGCTTTAGGTAGTACAGAATGCAGCAGCCAGTAGTTAACTAATGAAGCCTAGTGGAATCCCATTATAATTACATCAGTTCTGTTATTATTGTTCTTGTTACTTCAATTATTACTATATCAGTTTTATTATTGTGTGATCACAAATTAGTTAACCTTGAAAAACTAACAGACTTCCTATAAGAAAGCTGCACTAACTTTCTAATACTGTAGTTTGCAGATTTAATACTGTGTGATAGTTGATTGCTTTTAAAACCTTACATCGAGGTTCTTGAACTTTGGGACACCATGACTTCATAAAATGATAAATTAATTTGTGGAATCCCTCCTAAAACAAACAATTTTATTGGAGTTAGAGTTGGACAATAAATATACTTACTACTTACTCAAAGATATATAACATTAATCATACCTTCTTGACTTAGGCTAACTTTTATCAGTCCATTGGTCATCTTTAGTTTTTTCTTACCACCCAACAACACTTTTCCACTTTGGAAAGCTACAAATTTAAAATAATGGATTATTTATTTTCAGAACTTCAGAAACAGATATACTTCCACAGAGATTCCAAAGACTATGGATATACTATTACATGTCATTCTGGAAGTTACCCACCAGCAGGAAACTGTTCACCAGTGAGAACTGCTGTGATTGGCAGATGGTTTTGACTGGTAGCTGCATACATCTGTTTAGCCATCTCTCAAACTTGCCTATCAGCTTTGCTCATTCCTTTACCTGTGCAAGCCCACAGCACATTAACCTAGTAAAAGTGAGAGTGAGTTTTGATAGTACTACTATTTTGCCTGCATAAGTCTGATCAGATTTTTTTTCAAAAAAAACCATAATCCCCCTTCTAAGCGATTTGACCTGTGCCAATGTGTGGTTTTAAAAAGATACCAGCTCAAAACTGCTTTATTTGTCCAAGCATTTTAAGCAGGGCAGTTTTGGTTGGTCTGTTCTGATATTTCTTTATCTTTGGGCTGTTACATAAGGTTTTTATTTACCATTGTATTGGGTTTGTCTTATGTAAGATTCATTTTTGACTTATTCACTTTACATTGCTCTGCTATCCACAAGGACAAACACTATTGAAATATATTTAAGACTGGGATAATATTATTGTGAGATTTCAACAATACTTCCTTGTGAACTTCATCTAATAACATTTTATCCCTAGCAGTTTTTCAAACATTGTTTATTTTGTAATCTACTGTATATGTTAAACAGCCTGTTCTAATCTCTGGAAAGCCATAATGAGTTTGCTTGTTTTTAACTTACCATATTATATAAACCAAGCCACTGAAGTTTACAAACCATGGATCATAGTTTAGTACCCATGTGAATCCAGTCATTTGTGGTTTATTCAATAAACCATAGTTAAGCAATGCATGATTTCACACATGTGTGAACTAGATCTGAACATGGAACATTTTTCTATCTTTCATTCTGTCAAACTGGAAAAAAAATCACCAAAATAGCTAAAGCTGGAATGTGACATGTGTTTATGAGAAAAGTCTGAAAACAGCATGTTTGTGCTACCTAGAAAGTGGACATTTAGTAAATATAAAGACACCCTGTTTACAAGAAAATTCTTAAAATGGAATATTCTTACAGTGCACAATTGAAGCATGAATCTCATAATGGCAGCCAACATTCCACCATGGATAAACTAAAATCAAAGATACATGGAATGTGAAATTCTGGAAGTTCTCCACCTGTTTTGAGTGAATTATGCAGGGATTTCCAGTAATAACATAGAATATGTATGTCACAGGTATCCTTTTAAATTGCACAAGTGATCTATTAGAACATTGTCAGCAACAATGCAATTTACATCAGCAGGATGGGG